CCCCCGGCCCCCCCCCCAGTAGGATGTGGTGAGGCCAATTAGCACCACTCTCGGCCTGCGCGGGTCCCGCTGGCGTGACCCACCCCCACAGCTCTCCAGCAGCCACGTGAAGGTGCCCAAAAGGCTTCTGGGTAATGCCAGCCATGGGGCCATGCTCCCAAAGGAGCCCTGCCCCCTGCCCCGCTACGCAGAGCAATGCCAGCTTCTGCACCCAGGGGAGGGAAAGGAGCTGCCCCCACACTCCCAGGCCCCGGCTGGCTTGGCCACAGCACCAGCTTCCCATTGGCTGGCCATGGTGGGTGGGTGCATGCCAGGACTCCAGCTGCAGGGCATTAATTGCCAAGGATAACGAGCCTGGCATTTGCATCGGCACAGGGCTTGGCCGGGTCCCGGCGCACAGGGGCACATGCCACTGCATGCATGTGCCAGGGTCTTGCCACCCCAGACGTTTGCATGCCCCTCCCGTTTGCCCCGTCTGCGCCAGGCTCCCAAGAACCACATGGATCCAGCCACAAGGACGCCTGGGTCCCATCCACCCTGCCCCTAGCTCTGTGACTTGGTTTAACCTCCCTCTCCTGCTTGCCTCTAGAGCCGAGCTCACGGGTGCCAGGGCTGTGATGGGCCTGGACAGGGTCGAGCTCCCACAGGGCCCGGTCTGGGCAGGTTGCAAGCTTCCCAGGACAGTGCCGCTGGCATGAACACAATGCACGGGCACAGCTGAAGCCTTTGGGGGCTCTCCAGGCTTTAATATTAAATCACCGCAATACCAGGGACCAGGCTCAAGTGATGGCCGGGTTCTTCATGCCCACGGTCACGGCCCCTCAGCAGACCAGCACCTCCATCTTCTTGCCCTTCTTCTTGCAGACAGGCCCCAGGCGCCCCTTCGGCCCCTGCACCACCGTCACTGCAATGCTGCTCTTCTTGAACTGCATGGAGAACCTGCGGGGAGGGATGGTGGTGCTCAGGCCACTGTGACACCGGGTGTAGTAGACTGTTACCCCGCTCCCTGAACCAACCACTAGAGAGCGCTCTCCTGGAGCGTGAGCCAATCAGCATACTCCCCTGGCGCCATGCCCACCCCACCGGCCAATCCCCGTCCCTGCCTTACTGGTCGGCAATCTGGAGGTTGAGCGGCTGCCCTGTGGTCTCCAGCAGGACCTGGTGCACACGGGTGACGACCTCGATGACGTGGTCGCTGACCAGCAGGACATCGCCCTTGGTCCCCCCCGTGCCCATCTGCCGGGGGAGAAGGCACCAGGTCCCATCAGTGCCCTGGGCAGGCACCGCCAGCACCCCAGGGAGCTCTGGGACAGGTGTATGGAGCCTGCATGGCCTCCAAGCACTCAGTGCTGGCACCCAGGTGGGGGGGGTCACAGGCATGGCAGGGTGCAAGGGCACAAGGGAGTTGGGTACCCGCTCCCCTGGGGCATGCAGGGGCATTGACATGGGAGGGAAACCCCCCAAGCCCTATGCTGGGAATGTCCCAGAGCCCAGGGCTACCCCACAACCCCAGGCTGGGGGTGGGGGGCGGGGAAGCAGAAGCCTGCCCCATGGTCCCCATGTGCTGGGCTGGAAGGACAGATCATCCTGCTGCCCCCAGTACCTCCTTGAGGTGTAGCACGAGCAGCCCGTCGGAGAAGCGGGTGACGGAGATGGCATGGATGTCGCTCAGGCTGATGACGACCTTGGGCTGGGCGGCCTTGGGGTCTGCTAGGATCACGTGCTCCTTGGTGAGCAGCAGGAGCTGGGGTGTCATCTGGTGGGGGGGCAGAGCAGGTTGAGCCACCCCGCAGCCCCCGCGGGACCGCAGCCCTTGCCCAGCTCCCCCACACCTCACCTTGCCGTTGGCCTGGTTCACCTTCCTCACGGTGTCAGCCAGCACCAGCTTGCCCCGGGCCGTGGCTTGCAGCTTCTGGTACTTGGGGTTCTTCTGCAGCCCCACGTAGTCACCCTGGAACGGCTCTGGGACACTGAGCCGGAGCGGGGGAGAAGCCGTGAGCTGGCCAGCTGCTCTGTGCCACCCCCCTGTGGAAGCCTGGCACCCCCAGCCCTGTGCCCACACTCACCTGGGGCCGTACCGTGCCTTCTTGCCCTTGAAGAGCTCGCTAGCACACAGCTTGGTCTGCAGCGCCGCCCGCTTCTCCAGGCTCAGCTGGTCCCGGTACTTCTTACACTGCCAGGGAGAGCGGGGTCAGTGCTAGGACAGGGTGGCGAGGGCAGCTGCTGATGCTTGGCTGCAGCCACCTCTGGGGAGGGCTTGGGACAGCTGGGGACCCCCCATAAACAGCCATGCTCTCCAGGGTTGTTCCAGCCTGGGCTGAGATGCAGCCACCTCTAGGGTGGAGCGATGCGGGGAAGCAGCATGGCGCCCCGCGCTACCTTCCAGTGGTAGAAGATGGTCTTCAGCTCCTCATTGGCATTGGTCAGGAAGCGGTAGGGGGCTGGTGGCCAGCTCCGGTCGCTCACAGTCAGCGGGGGCAGGTTGTTCTTCAGCCCCAGGAAAAACTTTTGCAGCTTTGGGGAGAGGGAGAAAAGACTGTGCAGAACAGGGGGCAAGAGAGGCAGGGCCCCACCCTGCACCAAACTAGCCCTGACAGGGCCCGGTGTGGAAATGCCCCATGTTCCCAGCTCCATCCCATGTGCCAGCTGCAGACTGGATCTCCCCACCCGCCCCACGGGTTTCAAGCCCCCTTCGAGCATCGCCAGCCCCCAGAACTGCTCCAGAAGCCAGGGAAGAAGGAGCTCACCAGCCGCCGGTAAATGAAGTATGCCAGACGAGTCGTGGCCCCGGAGCGGAAATATTTTGTGTATTCCTTCCGCGTCTGTCAACGGAGATGCTGCGTGAGCCATGGGACAGGGACAGGGCTGCCCCTCTGGGGACAACGGGGGCTTCCCCCTCTCCCCAGCTGGATCCAAGTACTTTTCCCTGCTAAACAGCCCCTCCAGGAAAGTCAGGGCAGGGGTCGTGGCCCCTTCCACGGGCATCTGCCCTGGCCCATGCAGGCACGGATCCCGCCATGGCCCCGCAAGCATCCCTCCCCGCCCAGGCAGGCTGCGACGCAGGAGAGAGGGAGCAGACAGGCAGGGGAGGGCAGGGCCAGGGGAGCAGAAGCAGGACAGAGGCAGGCGTAGAAGGCCCAGGTGAAGGCACGGGGCAGCGAGCAGGGCCCAGCCTTGTACCTTGTACCCTCTCCAGTAAGCAGAAATGATGGCCGCAGCCTGGTGGCAACAATACTGGTGCTTCAGCTCCCGCAAGAGACGGCGCGACTGCGGGGGGATGGGGAGAGGTGAGGTCCCGCGGAGCCCCAGGGAGCAGACACCAGCGCAGGGGGACAGTGAGAGCAACAGCCCGAGACGCCAGAGCCCAGCTCCCATCCCCTCCGTCTCCCCCAGCCCATGCACGTCCTCTGGAGAGGCTGAGAGCTGGAGGCACCCAGGGGGTTTAGGCACCTGCACCTGAGTCCAACTTGGGGACCAGCCCAGCCGGGTCTCCACCGCCAAGGGGCAGATGATGGGGCCCCAAGCTAGGCCTGCTTGGGTACTCGTGAGCATTCACAAGAGTCCCCTCTTGCCCACGCATGTGCCACACTGGCCTGGGGCAGGGGACAGGGCTCTGCCCCGAGGCTGGTGTGGGAACAGGCTGGCCTGACGCCCTCCTTACCTTCCAGCCGCGGACATAGGCCTGGATGAGCAGTGCCGCCCTCTTCATGTGCTGGTACCTCTTCTTTTGCTGCAGGGAGGAGCGTGGTGAGGGCAGGGAGACCCCCGGGAGGTATGGGGGAGATGCCCTGCGAACACTGCCAATGAGACCGGCATGGGGCAGATGCAGGGGCCCCATGGCAAGGAGCACCTGAGTGGTGCTAGGAACCATGCCAGCCCCACCTGAGCCAGCCACCAGCCCTGGGCACAGACAGGAGGGGGGCGGGGGGGTACTTACCGCGTGGCCCCGGAACCAGGCTGAGATGAGGATCTGGCTCTTGCGCATGAGCTGGTACTGGGTACGACACCGCCAGCCCCGGTAGGTCTTTTGGATCAGCGTGGCCAGCTCCTCCACCCGGCGCCGGCGCCGCTCCTCCAGGTCGAAGAGCTGGGGGGTGCAGAGGGGGGGTCAGGACTCGGGGGGGAGCCCCCCTTCTCAGTGCCAGAGCCCACTGCTCCCCACTGCCCCCGGCCCGAGCCCCCAGGACTCACGGTGCGTGGCGTGCGGATGAAGACCTTGGTGTGTCCATAGGCCAGCTCCTCAGGCGGGATGTCCATGTCGGAGAGCAATGCCTGGACCCCGTCCCTGCGGCCAGGCAGTGGATTCAAGTCCTGCCCCCCACGGAGCTCTTCCAGGGACCCCAAGCCTGGAGGAGCCCAGTGGGGGCAGGGTGACCCCCTGAGAGCTCCAGGTCCCTGGTCCCCGGCCCCCCATGCCTCCTACCTGGCAGTGCCGGTCCAGCGGGGCCAGGTGTGGGTGCTGAGCAGCCGGTAGCGCTCCAGGCAGGGCTGGTAGGGCTGGCGGTAGGCATAGCCGGCCCGCCGCACCCGCACATTCTCCAGCAGCCCCAGGTACCGCACCTGGCTCCGCACCAGCTCATCCGTGAACTGCCCCGGCGCCTGGCTCTCATTGGGCTTGATGCACCTGGGAGGAGAAGCGGGGGTCAGAGCCTCCATACTGCTACAGGCCAGGGGGAGTCTCTTATCATCCTAGTGTGTGCCAGAGTCCTCACGCTGCAAAGGGCCAAGGGGAGTCTCCTATATCTCTACTGTGCCAGAACACCCATGCTGTGAATGACCAAGGAGTCTCCCTTCACTCCACTGTGTCAGAGCCCCTGTACTGCTAAAGGCTGGGGGGGGGTCTTCCCTGACTCCACTGTGTGTCTGAGCCCCCATACTGCTAAGAAACAAGGGAAAGTCTCTCCTCACTCCACTGCATATCTGAGCCCCATGCTGCTAAGGGCCAATGGAGTCTTCTCTCACTCCACTGTGTGTCTGAGCCCCTGTACTGCAAAGGTCCAGGGGAGTTTCCTCCCAGGGGGGTACCAGGCCCCTGAGCCAGTGGGCTACCTGATGTAGTTGGGGTTCTTGGAGTAGAGGTTCTTCATGAGGGTGTTGATGGAGGCCTTGAACTGGAAGCCGGCTGTGGGGGGCATCTTAAGTGATGCCTTCTTGGGGTCGCCGTCGGGGAAGAGGCTGCGCAGCAAAGTGTGCTTGGCCTGCCACATGGCCTGCGCCAGCCCCCGGTACAGCCGGTCCGTGTTCTTCTCAGTGAAGCCCGTGGCATTGTAGGTCACCTACCGGGAGCGGGCACCTTGCTGTCACTGCACAGGGCAGGGCCCGCTCCCTGGGGCCGCTCTGGGCCCCTCCAGGAATCAAACCCACGAGTGCCAAGGCCAGACACTGCTCAAACTGCCCCAGCTCCCCTCCCAGCAGCGGGGAAGGAACCCAGGAGCCCTGGCTCCCTCCAGGACCCAGCGGGACGGGACAGGACCGGACGGGACTGGGGTGGGGTCCCAAGCCCTGATAAGGGATGCAGGCTGGGTGCCTAGTACCCACACCCAGCTGCTCTGTGTTGCCTGGACCCCTGAGCTGCTCCCTGTCCCCAGCCCGGACACACCTTGCCAGCGTAGTGGTGCACGCGGAAGCAGGTGCTGGGCAGGCTGGTGTCCGTGATGTGCCGGTCACTCTGGCTCTTCCGGCTCTCGTAGTGCTCGTGGCTGCCAAAGGCCTGGTCCAGCTTGGCCAGGAAGGTGGCAGCGCTCACGGTGCCAGGGCGCAGGCACTCCTCATCCAGCAGCACCAAGATCCCCCCCTTGCCCTGTGGAGCCAGCACTGTTGCAGCCTGGGGAGACCCAGCTGGGGCACCCCCATGGCCCCTCACCCCCTGTCAGCCAGCCCATGGCCCCCGCAGCAGTCCAGCCCAGCCCAGAGCTGCCCCCACAGCCCCGCCAGGGCCCTGGGGTGGCCCCACGCCAGCTCTGCCCGTGGAAGCACTCACACTCTCAATCAGGTCACAGATGATGCTGTTGTCGAAGAAGGTCACCGGGGTCCACTCGATGCCCTGGAGGGGATGGTGGCATCAGCCCAGTGCGGGATGGAGGCGGGGACAAGGAGTGAGTGTGCATGTGTGTGTCCTGGACACCTGGGTTCTGGGTGTGCATCCCAGACATTTGAAGGGGTGTGGGTGTGTGACATGAATGGCCCGTGCCCCCGGCAGCTGGGGTGGGGCACGCCTGCGCTGGCAGCAGCCGGGAGCGGGAAGCTCCCACAGACACTGTGGGCACTGTCGGCGGTAGGAAGGGGGGGGGTGCCAGGGGTTGGTGACCACCTGCAGACGCTGCCAGCAGTGTTGGTGGCGGCCAGGGAAAATCATGGACCACCCACAGACGCTGCTGGGGTGGCGAGCGGCGATTACTTGCAGATGCTGCCGACAGTGTCGGCGACTCCTTTTTGCAAGGGGTGCACATGCACCCCCTGCGCACCGCCCCTAGTGTGCGACACCTGGGTTTTGTGCATGTGTCTGTGTGCCCCAAACACCTGGGTTCTGTATCTGTGTGTGTTCCAGACTGTGTGTGTGTCTGTGTGTGCACACACACGTGTGGGGGGGGTCTACCACTGGGTTCAGGGGCTGCAGTCAGGGGCTGGGATTCAGGCCCTCAGGAGTCCCCTGGCAGCTCCTGGGCTCAGGGGGGTGCAGGGTCCGCCCAGCTCCTCTCCCCACATGCCACGTGGCAGTGCGGCAGTGACCCCCACACCCTGCCGGGGGGCAACCCAGGACACAGCAGAGACAACCATGCAGCCCCCTCCCTGGAAAACCAGCCGGAGCCAGAGGGCAGGAGACTGGGCCACGGCTCGCACTGTTGGGGGGGGCTTCACTAGCAAAGGCAGCACTGATGGGGTCTGCAGCCCTCACAAAGCCCCCAGGTGCCTCTAGGCTGGCTACAGCCTCCACCCCATCTAGCTCTGGATCCCAGGAGCGGGACGTCTGGCCGGATCCTTCCCAGCTTCCTGTTGTTGCCCCAGGAACTGCCTGCTGGGAGGGAGGGGGCTGGGGCAGGCACCCCCCAGCCCAAAGGAGCTAGAGCAAGCAGCTGGGCCTGGCAGAGCCCCCCGGCCAGGCCGGCGCGATGGGGTCACCTCCCGGAAGTATTCATCCTGCTCCTCCTTCAGGGTCATGAGGATGAAGATCTGCTGCAGCTTCTCATTGCAGTAATTGATGATGAACTGCTCAAAGCTGTTGTCCTGGGGGGGAGGGAGGGGACCCTGGGAAACCCAGGCAGCCCTACTGGTGCCCCTCACCCCTAACCCGCAGCCCTCCGCGCCCCCCAGCCTTGCCGGTGCCCCTCACTCCTGACCTGAATCTCTCTGCCCCCCCAGCCCTGCTGGTGCCCCTCACTCCCAGCTTGCAGCCCCCTCCCTCCTCAACCCCATTAGTGGCCCTCACTCCCACCCCGCAGCCCCATGCCCATCCAGCCCTTTCAATGCCCTCACTCCCGACCCACAGTCCCCAGCTGCCCCTGCCATCCCCAGCCTCAGGCTCTTCCCCCACCCCAATCTCCTCTCGCTCCCAGAGCCAGCTCCCAGCAGCCCCTCCTGCCACGACCCCCAGCCGGGGGCACCCAGCCCTATACCTGGAAAATCTCGAAGCCGTAAATATCCAGGACACCCATCACCTTCCGCCGCTCGCCCACAGTCACCTAGGAAGCAAACGGGGCATTGCCTGCTCCTTGCCACCACTTACCCTCTGGCTTCAGCTTTAGCCCCACTCCAGCTTGGGGCATGAAGCATGTGATTATTCTTACCCCAGCCTGATGTGGTAAAAGTTGTTGCTGATATTGAACCAGACTGGGGCTGCAGCTGGAGCAATCACATGGTCAGTGTCCCAGGTTAGAGTGGGGCTGAAGCTAGAGGGTAAGCACT